TGGATTTGGTTAACATATTTACGCAAATATGTGTATCCTAAAATGTAAAAGTAGTTTAAATAAATATTTCTTAATACCTTTATTTTATATTTAAATATAATTTTAAATACCAACAAGGGTTGGTTTAGTTGGTAAGGCTTGTTCCCTTCGCCCATTTGGCTTAGGTTCGAGTCTCGTTGCCGGCAATCCTTTGTTTGTGGGCGATGTTGCGTAACGCCCTGGAGTGGGGTAGCCACCCCTCCTCCTAAACTTTTTTTGAATAAAAAAAAATATATATATAATTTTAAATATATTTATGACATAATTATGACATATAGTTTAATTCTGGTTGACTCGACTGTTGGATGCCGTGTTTTTAAACTTGAAAATTAATACGAAAACATGAAAGGATTGATCTTACATCCTATCCTAGCATCATATTTTTAGAGATTATAGGTGCTTACAGTACTGATCTTATATCTGAGTAACATAGTTACACATTGCAGTACTATATAGTGGTTGTGGGTGGGTTATGGTTTTTGGTTTTATGCTAGTTATGAATTGCAAAACTATTGAGCACACATGGTTGGGATATTGTATTTTGTTTGTGGAATTTCGATTCTTCTTCCAGTACCTGATGGTTATTGTTGTTTCTGTGTGTGCACTTGTGCATGAATATGGTAGCGGCTGTAATTATATTTTTGACTGGCTGCTCCAATCATGTTGTCCTTTTCAGATTATAGGTTAATTACACATATAGAAAAGCTTCAAATATCAGAATATTTTTGTCAATCCAATCTGAAGACAAGGAAAAGCTACTTTTCGGCAAGGAAAACTTTACTGCATGACCTTTTGACATTTCTGCAATGTCAGGGTTACTTGGAATGGCAACGGGGCGGGGCGGGGCCGGGGATCACACTCCCCGTCCCCGATCCCCGATGGTGAACATTGCCCCGTTCCCGATCCCCGACGGGGAACCTATTACTCTCTCCGTCCCCGCCCCCTATCGGGGATCGGGTTTCCCCAACCCCGAAAATTTCCCGTCCTAAATTTGTTTCAACATCATCAATAACAACATTACACATACATTTTCAACAACAAAAACACAGATCTGAGACTGAGACACGCACAAAATCATTAATATCATCAAATAGATCAACAACAACATAGATCATTAACACAGACCTCTTTAACAGATAAATAACAAATCATTAACATTTTCAACATCAACAACAACAAATCATTAACAGATCAACTGCACACAAAAAAAAAAAAAATGATAACATAAGACACACAGATCTGAGGGGACGACGGAGGAGGGAGAGAGAGAGAGAGAGAGAGAGAGAGAAACTAGATCTGTAATCGATCGATCATGCAGCAGCGAAGATCTTGAGTAAATTTGCACCATGCTCGATCGATCTGTAATCCCTGGAGTTAATCTGCAACAGCGAAGATCTAGTGAGGGATGAGTTCTACTGGCCAGGGGTAATATGGTGATAGTAGCGTCAAAGGAGGTAGGGGCGTCGGAAGAGGCAACGGCGTCGGAGGATCGAGTCGATGTCGGACAACGGCGTTGGAAGAGAGAGTAGAGGGAAGAGAGAGAGAGAGAGAAGTGGGTTTGTAAGGGAGAAGAGAGAGAGAGAGAGTTGTAGGGGGGAGAGAGAGAGAAAAAGAAGAAGAGGGGCTTGTATCAGTGAAATGGAGTGAGGGAACAGGCTATCTTCTGTTTATATATATATATATATAGGGGTAAAATGGTAATTTAACATCGGGGATAAACCGGGCCGGGGATCGGAGATGGGGCCGGGCCGGGCCGGGTACGGGGCTGGGACATTTGTCCCTGTCCCCGGCTCGAATCTGCTCGGGGATTGATTTTTAAATACCATCCCCGTCCCGTCGGGGATATTTTTTGGGAAAAACCCGCTCAATTTGGGATCGGAGGGTCGGGTCCCCATCGGGCCGGTTTCAAATTGCCATCCCTACTTAAGATACTCTAAATACGTGCCAACTTTCACCCAAATTACAGGATTGTTCAAGGGATAATTTAAATAAGTATACTTATTTGATAAGTGCACTTATTTGGGTCACATCACCTCTCTATTTTTTTATATATTTATATATTTTTTTCTTAAAATGTCAAAAAGTATACTAAATAGGCAAATCCCAAACCATGCTTGTTAAATATGGAAGTGACATTGCTCTATATAATATCAGAAAGTCTATGAACCTAGACATATATACCAAGAATTAAACTGCTGAATTATTTTTTGAGCTCCACACATGAAATTAATTTCAACTATTAAATGTGTTTTCTAAGTATTTTTTTAAAATATTTTTCTAAGACTGTAGAGTTGTTAATATAATAGGGGAAATTACACTAACACCCCCTTCGGATTCCTTCAAAATAACACTGTCAACCCTTATTGAAATACTAATGTCACCCAATATTGAAATACTATTGTCCTCCCTTACTTTACAATTTTTTTGTAACACTTTAATCTTTCCGTCAGTCAACTATTTGTTAACTGAACAGAAAATGATGATGACTGCAAAAATATAAGTCACAAAATACCAATTTTTCCCTAAAAATTCTCTTCATCTACCCTCAAATTTTCTTGATCTACCCTCTCTCTCTTCTTCATTCCATCACAGCCACTTTTTTCATCCTCTCCTTCTCCCTCATGCTTCAATCATTCCAACAACACATGAACCTTCTTATTTTTTTCAGTAGTTAAAACCTTTTATGTTATGTTTGGTAGGAAGATTTGAAAAGAAATTTGAAAAGGAAAATAAAAAATATAAGTGAAATGTGAATAAAATATATATATTGAGAGGGTAATTTTTGGGAAGAATTGGGCCGAGCTGCGTGATTGGGCTTTGAGGCCCAAAGTGTGAAGGACTCAGTAAAAGGCCGCAATGATATTCCGGTCCAGAAGAAGCATAGTTACTCCGGCCCAGGAGAGGTATGGTTACTCCGGTTTAGGAGAGGTGTAATTGCTTCGGCCCTAGATGGTATAAAGCTACTCCGGTCTGGAGGTAACTTGATGTTAGTCCGGTCTCGGGGTTAATCCGGTCGCGGTGTATTGTGGTTAGGTCGGCCAGAGCTTGCTACTCAGAAGCTTGGTCTAAACGCATCATGGTTGAACGGGGGAAAGCCGAGATAAGGAGTTGGAGGAGAAAACCGAGCTAAGGATAGTTCGGTCTTCTCTGTGGCTCAGCATAGCCAGTGTTACTTCGGTCAAATGGTGATTCGGCCATGGAGAAAACCATCCCACTTGGTTTAAGCAGTGGGGGAGGGTGTAAAAGGATAAGCATTATCCTTAGGAGTATGAATCCCAGGAGGACTCTGCATGGAGAAATACAAGTCCTACTTAACATTTTCAACATCAACAACAACAAATCATTAACAGATCAACTGCACACAAAAAAAAAATGATAACATAAGACACACGGATCCGAGGGGACGACGGAGGAGAGAGAGAGAGAGAGAGAGAGAGAGAGAGAGAGAGACTAGATCTGTAATCGATCGATCATGCAGCAGCGAAGATCTTGAGTAAATCTGCACCATGCTCGATCGATCTATAATCCCTGGAGTTAATCTGCAACGGCGAAGATCTAGTGAGGGACGAGTTCCACTAGCCAGGGGTAACACGGTGATAGTGGCGTCGAAGGAGGTAGGGGCGTCGAAGGAGGCAACGGCGTCGGAGGATCGAGTCGACGTCGGACAACGGCGTCGAAAGATAGAGTAGAGGGAAGAGAGAGAGAGAGAGAGAAGTGGGTTTGTAAGGAAGAAGAGAGAGAGAGTCGTAGGGAGGGGAGAGAGAGAGAAAAAGAGGAAGAGGGGCTTGTATCAGTGAAATGGAGTGAGGGAGCAGGCTATCTTCTGTTTATATATATATATATATATAGGGGTAAAATGGTAATTTAACATCAGGGATAAATCGGGCCGGGGATCGGGGACAGGGCCGGGCCGGGTACGGGACTGGGACACTTATCCCCGTCCTCGGCCCGAATCTGTTCGGGGATTGATTTTTAAATACCATCCCCGTCCCGTTGGGGGTATTTTTCGGGAAAAACCTGCTCAATTCGGGGTCGGGTCCCCATCGGGCCGGTTTCAAATTGCCATCCCTAAGGGTTACTTAATGTATAGTCCTCTTTTACATAACCTCTTTATACATAAAATGATGTTGACAGTGTTAGCCATATAGTTGTTGGATCTTTAGGTTCTTGTTTTTGAATGAATATATTGCATTTTCTTGTTTTCAACTCATCCATCCTTTTCAGTTTAATGTGGAAGTTACAGGATTTGGCCTTGTAATACATCAGTTTCTTATCCAACAAGAAATGCAGAAAGGCTGGGCTTAAAACATGTCCACTTTTTATATGGTTTCTCACTATGTTGTATGGAGGAATCTCTAGCATGTATAGTTAAACTATTTATGGAGGGTGATTGGAAGACCATCTTACTTCTTTATTTTATTCTTTTGTTTTTTGGCTATCAAGAGGCAAATCTATTTATAAAGAGGACCACCAAAATTTGGAGATAAATTGTTCTGGACGTGATTGTAGAGATACATTAGCTGTTGGGCATTCACTCAATTCCCTTTAGTTATGTTTAGTTCTACATGCATCCTCTATTTGTTTCACTTGAGTCTTGCATTTTTTGTATGCCAATTGTTTGATCTTGGTTCTGGGTTTTGTGAATGCTTACTGTCATATCAAAACTTGGACCACGAGTGGCATGATTTATATGGTCACATGCATATTCCTGGTGCTTGTAAAATTTATCAAACTTATCTGCAGTCATCTCTCAACGGATCAGCTTCAAATCTTCCAGACAGTACTGGGCGTTCTTTTGCTACATCTTTTTCTGCTCAATCTGGCGCAGCCTCCCCTGTTTTTCATCACACAGGTGAGTTGATTTTGCTGAGTATCGCTCTATATTTTCCATCAGGTTTTATATAATGTGGAAATTTCCTTTTACAGGAACTATTCAAGGGCTACATAACCTTCATGGGAGCTTTAATGTTCCCAACATGCCTGGCACACTTGCATCTAGAAACTCTACAATAAATAATGTTCCTTCTAGTGGGGTTCAACAGCTACTGTAAGCCTTTCTAGCGGACGTTTTGCATCAAACAATCTCCCTGTTGCTCTTTCTCAGGTATATGTGTTAGTTTTGCACATATTTATTAGTTGGTATTTTTCATTCACTGGTGTTTCACTATGTTTGCTAAATTAATTTCTTTGCTGAACTCTATCCGATTGCATATTGTTTTGTATTGCAGATATCCCATGGAAGCTCACATGGTCATTCAGGGGTGGCAAATAGAGGTGGAATGAGTGTTGTTGGTAGCCCTGGATTTAGTAGTAGTGCAAATGGAGTTGGTGGTTCCATTCCTGGGATTCTGCCAACCTCTGCAGCAATTAGTAATCGGAGTGCTGTTCCAGGACTAGGAGTGTCTCCAATTTTGGGAAATGCAGGTCCTCGGATTACCAGCTCAATGGGGAACATAGTTGGTGGGTGCAACATTGGTAGGAGCATGAACTCTGGAGGAGGATTATCTGTGCCTGGTCTTGCTTCTCGCCTAAATATGTCTGCCAACAGTGCTTCTGGAAATTTAAGTGTGCAAGGTCCAAACAGACTAATGAGTGGTGTGCTTCAACAAGGTATATTACCTTTAATTGGTGACAAAATGTTTGGCTTAAGAGAATGTTGTTTTGTTACTGACTACTATATACAGCTATGATGTTGCATACCACATTACTTGCGTAGTGTATGTAAGAGTTTTTATGTATACTGGACTTCATTTTGATATGGTCATGCTTAGTTTCTTTAAAGCTGTGATTTTTTCTGGAAATAGTATATTCTTAGTTCTTACACAATAGAAGTTACGGCTTAGATAACTTGGCAAGTCTTGAACGGTTCTATTATTTCTGAGAAAAAGAATTTGATAGTTGCCTTTATTGTTTGTCTATTGATTCAGTATATGTTTAGAGGTGTAAAAAGCTGCAAATGAAGCACCTCTAAGGTCAGACTAAATTTTTAAGCTTTATAAAAAAGAGAATATGTATTAGTTGAAGACCAGTATAGCATTGTGATGATTAGAATTTTATTTTATTTTATGTTTTGAACAGAGAGTAGAATGGACTTGCGATGGTACTTGTTTCGCATAAAACTAGATCCAAGTGTTTGGACAGCATGCTGAATGACCAAACTAGAATTTGAGATTTTGTTGGTGCCTTTTCCTTGTTTCCCCTTTGCACTGATTGACTGGCCCACAAAATTGATGGTTTTTTAGCATATTGGGCATGAAGGTTGCATAATCACAAACGAGAGGTTTTCAGAGGTCATCTTGCACTATACACTGTTTAAAGTGGGCGGGTAGTGTAGAAAGGGCTTTATGTAAGTAAGATCTTGTAAGATCGACATCTTTTTGCCACTAGTTCTTTTATTATCTGACTCTTCTGTGAACCCATTGGTTATGCTTGAATGGCAATTATTTGCAGGATTAAGGTTCTGTTTATGTCAATAATACTGTATTGATCTGTTTGAAATTTTTAAGAAAAGAACTTGTAATTGACATAGTGGTTTGTAATATCAGTCAGTGTGGAGTACGATTTACATCTTGGTCATGACCTAAGTTGGATTGAAATAGCTAACAGCTTTACACTATTGTTAAAGTCCATTTTTTTCTTATTTTTCATCCATCCATGGAATACAATTTGAAACTATATATGTTGTGTTGTCTTCCTGATGCTCATATAATTATCTACGCTTACTACTCAACTTGCTTTTGATAGGAAGTTATTGTGATTGTTGTGATAACTTCTGCCTTATTGGGAAGGGTGGTTGATAACCCAAATTTAGCAATAATTGAGATTCTCTATCTATATTAGAAATCCTTTCTCTTCCTACTTTTAGTTAGAGTTTGTTTGGATACTTTTATTTTTACCAGATTTTATCTTTAAAAAGTTAAAATCTGCTAAAAAATAGTTTCCAAACATGCCTATAAGTATTTTAGGTTGTGGGGGTAGCAACCGACTTGTAATTGGATGCCCTGGTTGATTAAATTATGTTCACTGGTTGTGTTGTATGTAATTCTTGTTGGATGACATTAGATTTCTTATTATTCTCTGTAAAGATGAAGATGTGTTATGTTTTTGATTGCTGACTGATGCTTTTGCTATAGTAAGTGACATTCTTTGGATTCAGCTTCTCCGCAGGTGATTTCTGTACTGGGAAATTCCTACCAAACTGGTGGCCCACTATCGCAAAGTCATGTCCAAGTTGTCAATAATCTTAATTCTATGGGAATGTTGAATGATGTAAATTCCAATGATGGTTCTCCCTTTGAAATAAATGATTTCCCTCAGCTGACCAGCCGCCCCAGTTCTGCTGGAGGTCCTCAAGGACAATTGGGTAAGTTAGGTGCTTATTTTTGCTTAGCATAGTCCTCTGCAGGTCTTTATGCCTGCAATTAGATCATTATTTTAAGTAAAGAATTTCAGGTTCGCTTCGTAAACAAGGTCTTGGTGTTAGTCCTATTGTTCAGCAAAATCGAGAGTTCTGCATCCAAAATGAAGATTTTCCAGCTGTACCAGGATTTAAAGGTTCTTACATGCTTTTATTCTCCCTCTCTCTCTCTCTCTCTCTCTCTCTCGTTTTTAATTTTTAAGTCATTTTCACTATTGATGTTATTTGTTCGGGTCAGGTGTTCTTGTAATCTATTTGTTTGTCTGGTGATCAGTGAAGTGCCTAAAAAGCCTGTAATAGAAATTTTTGGGCAGCCTTTTACCATTGTTGCTATGTCAGATTATTATTATTATTATTTTTTTCCTGGTGTTAATTATTAAATTTACAACTCAGGAAGAGTTAGGGACGTTAGATATGCATGCTTATCGCTCTTAACGGTTCATGTCTAGGTCTATTGGATATTAGGCAATGTATGCTGTTCTTAACAGCTGTGAATTTTTAAAATTGTAAGATGTTAAATTTTTTGTGATTCTTCCAATTGACATTGCCTCTTGATCTTTTTAGTTATCTTGATCTTTTTAGTTATTTTTCACGATATTTCTGCCTCTATTGTACGTTATTTCTTTCTTTATTTATTTTTTCATAGGATGCTTTTCATTAGTTATATGGCAATAGAAATTGCATATGCATGCAGTAAAACCAAGTTCGATGTGTCATATGGCTTGTTGCTCTGGATGTGAGAAACTGTTTATGCTGTAATTTGTTTGATCTTGTCTTCTGACTAGCATGTTCTTCACATTTTGTTATGACATACAACAATTTTATCTCTATGCCCTGGTAATGACCTGCTGTGATGGAAACATATTTTGTACGAAAAAAGGGAACATTTTTGGCAGCGTCAGTGCATCATTCATGTAATATAGCTTACATTTTTTATTTCAGTACAATGCTTGGGATTTGGGTCACATCACATCACATCTTCAGACAAAATAAACTTTCACCCACATCTTACTGACTGTTGTACTAGATATTGCACAGGTGGCAATGCTAATTATGCGATGGACTTGCATTAGAAAGAACAACTTCATGACAATACCGTGTCCATGATGCAGTCTCAGCACTTCTCTGTAAGTGTTAATTTGTGAAAGGTTTTGAGTATTTACCGTAATATCATCTGATGCTTTGTCTTTTCAATTTTGCCCATATACTTCTGTGCTTTAATGTGCAAATGGGGAGGTCTGCTGGATTTAACTTGGGAGGATCATATTCATTGCATCGTCCACAGCAGCAACAGCAACATGCACCATCGGTCAGTAGCAGTGGTATCTCCTTTTCAGCCATAAACAACCAGGATCTTCTCCATCTGCATGGCTCAGATATGTTCCAATTGTCTCATTCAAACTATCACTCGCAGGTGTGTTAGTCTTGTGACTTTAGTGGGTTATTTCATATGTAGAGGGTGTATGGATATCACAATTGAATTGTTTTACGTTATCCAAAGACCACTTGTTCCTTCCACTGCAACACTGGTGGAGTTCTAAATTTTTAAACCCCAAACTAAAGGTTTTCTATCACCGGCACTGAATCACGACCTTACCATTTTGTTCCAAGAAATTGGTATGTGGTTTATAGAAATGAATCTAGAATCAAATGTCATTATAAATACCTTGTAGGTGACACAGATTGATTCAAGTTGCTTCTTATAAGAGAGTTATTAAGTTACTAAATATTTTCAGAATATGCTGAATATGATTTTTTCCCCTGTGCTCTCTTATATAGAAGAGGGTGAGTGTGTAATAGGTAAGGAGTAGGTGAAGTGGAGGTGATAGTGGTGTAGTGGGTTAGGTTTAGTGGAGTAGGTGAGGTGGTAGTGGTGTAGTGGGTAAGGTTTAGTGGAGTAGGTTTAAGTGGGTGAAGTAGGTGGAGTGTAGGTGGATTTTAACACTATCACTCGCAGGTGTGTTAGTCTTGTGACTTTAGTGGGTTATTACATATGTAGAGGGTGTATGGATATCACAATTGAATTGTTTTACGTTATCCAAAGACCACTTGTTCCTTCCACTGCAACACTGGTGGAGTTCTAAATTTTTAAACCCCAAACTAAAGGTTTTCTATCACCGGCACTGAATCACGACCTTACCATTTTGTTCCAAGAAATTGGTATGTGGTTTATAGAAATGAATCTAGAATCAAATGTCATTATAAATACCTTGTAGGTGACACAGATTGATTCAAGTTGCTTCTTATAAGAGAGTTATTAAGTTACTAAATATTTTCAGAATATGCTGAATATGATTTTTTTCCCCGTGCTCTCTGGTTTGGCGTTCATGTCGTAAAAAATTTCTGTACTGTCCATTGAATGACATCATCAAATGTCTATTTGATATTGTTACAGACTAGTGGACCGCCTGGCATAGGATTAAGACCTCTGAACTCTCCGAATACAGTTTCTGGTATGGGGTCTTATGACCAGCTTATCCAACAGTATCAGCAGCACCAGAGTCATTCCCAGTTTCGCCTGCAGCAAATGTCTGGTGTAAATCAGTCATACAGGGATCAGGGTGTGAAGTCCATGCAAGCTCCATAAGCTGCGCCCGATCCATTTGGCTTGCTTGGTTTGTTTAGTGTAATAAGGATGAGTGATCCTGATCTGACATCGCTTGCACTTGGAATTGATCTGACAACACTTGGGTTGAACTTGAACTCGACTGAAAATCTTCACAAGACATTTGGATCCCCATGGTCAGATGAGCCTGCTAAGGGTGATCCAGAGTTCAGTGTGCCTCAATGCTATTATGCTAAACAACCGCCTATTTTAAATGTAAGATGATCTATCTTCTTGTTTTTGGTCTGCTTTTTTTGGTAGCTACTTTCTTTTCTTACTCAAATATTTGTTGATATTTTGATATATTACAATGATTCCTATATATAGAAGAGAGGATGTGGGAAGAGAATAGGTGAGTGTGTAGTAGGTGAGGAGTAGGTGAAGTAGGTGAATGTGTAGTAGGTGGTAGTGGTAGGTGTGTAGTAGGTGAATTTTAACACTACTTTCTTTTCTTACTCAAATATTTGTTGGTGTGGTTGCAGCAATCGTATTTTATGAAGTTCCCAATGGACACATTGTTTTACATCTTTTACAGGTGTGCCTCTTGCTTGGTTTCTAAAAAGTCTTTTGGGTAAATTACAACAATATCGCTCAATAAAAAATGATACGCTTTGCCACCATGAAGTATCAATTTGTATAATCTGTATCAATCTGAACCTTACATTAAGGTTCTGCTACATAAATGGATGAGAAATTGACATATGCTTTGCATATGGCTCAAATATTGTGAAATGCTTAAAATATACTTAATCTTCTATTTCCCTTCTTTGCCCAAATCTTTTTGTGAATCTTGTTATCATAAGGTGATAATAACTTCTATTCTTATTGTGCAGCATGCCAAAAGACGAAGCCCAGTTATGTGCTGCATATGAACTGTATGCTCTTTCAGCCCTAGCTACTATAATTTATATAGATGTGTGCATTTACTTTCACCAACTGCTCCTTGTGTACCCTGAATTGCAATTTGTGAAGCATTTACATATTTCATTTTGAAATTTTACTTGAACTATATCATCATTTTGCCTTGCACTGTCCCTACTAACCAGTCATGTATGTAGGTTTGCAATTTGCTTATGGCTGTGTTACCTACTGTTTGCAGATACAACAGAGGTTGGTTTTATCACAGAGAGCTTCGTCTCTGGTTTACGAGGGTTTCCAACGTGGAACCACTTGTTAAGACAAACACATATAAGAGAGGGTCTTATATCTGTTTCGACCCAAACGCATGGGAAACAATCCGCAAGGTTTGGATTTTTGAACACCTGTTTTGTTGATGTCCTTCATTGTTAAATTTTCCTCGCAATGACTGACTGCTTTTGTTGAATCAATATTTTTTTAGCTGCAGGATAATTTTGTCGTTCACTATGACATGTTGGAAAAAAGACCAGCTCTACCCCAACATTAACTCATATTTCCCAGTTTACAGTGTAAGTTTCAGTTTAGTTTCAATGTTAGAATCTGAGAGTCAGTTTCCCATTTTAGTGTTCCTCCAATCGGCCATTGTAAGTAAATTGTTGCATAAATCTTGTTTTAGTTAAGTCATGTAGTCCCTTTTTTACATGATGCTAAATATAACATTAGAAAAGAAAAAAAAAATGAACTGGTTTTTACACCTGTTTTAATGAATAGTTTGGTTTTGATAATCAACAGAGATACTTATCATCAGTGGTTAATCACTTGATTCAAGATCAGCTTAGACATTGCATGGGTTTTGCTTAATTTGGTTTAGTAGTTACACTGTATTTGCATTTTTATTTTGAAAATATTATTTATTTATAACCTAGAATATGATGAAATGAACTGACATACCAAATTACACATGTACTGAATCCTTACCTGCCTAGTACTGATTATAATCTGCCAAATCGAATATGTACAAGTTTGAGAAAGCTGTGGCAAATTAATAATAATAAGAAATGTTTGTTTATGAGGAGGTTTGTGAAAATTGTGGCAAATTAGCGGCAAATGTGTATCTTGCTGCTTTTGTGTAGTTGCTCCTGGAAATTTGTCTATAAATGTAGATCTGCTGGATTTTACGAGTACGATTAATTTTGGGAAACTTGACTATAAATCCTTTTTACCTTCCTTTCATTGTTAAAAGGATTAAGAAAAAAATTATAGACTTTGCTTGGTTGTGATTTGTAAAAGTGTTTCTACACGTGCGTTTGAGTATGATGTTTGGTTGTTGTTTTGGAATCAATTTTCACGAGCTTTGCAGAGAGCTCTGTGCATCAGCTGCAAAATTTTGCCCAGGGGAAGACCGCCCGGACGTCCTTAGGGACTTCCACCCGGATGTCCTTCGCTGTACAGATTTTTTTTTTTTTTGGCAATTGATTTATATAATTGGGAAAAATATTTTCTGAAATTTTTTTAATTTTTAATGTGCTTTGAAATAATTATGAGTTGTATGTTTAGTTATGAGTTGTAAATTTTTGTATTACATATCAAATATCACATCAACAATTCTCTATTCAAATCAAACTTCTTTTCAAAAATTATTTTCAAAACTCTTTACCAAACAAATTTTCTACACTCAAATCATAATTCTACAACATACAAACTCAAAATACAAAGATACGATTGTTAAGTGTTATACGTCACTATTCGTACGTCCATCAACGGATGAAATTGCCTAACGGGTACAATTTCAACAGGGGGGGCGCTAGTAATATTATATATAGCGCCCCCCCTCAGCTGGTGTGACCTCCCCTTATATAAAGCGTCGACAAACAACATTCACACCTGTGTAAGTTAAGTGTTAATCACTAAATAAGCTAAATAATGCCTCGCCAAGCCTCTTTCCGTTTTTATGCCAAGAATGCCTTTTTCACCTACCTACAATGCCCATGCCCAAAAGAACAACTCTTAGAACTCTTCCAATCTTTCCTCCAACTAGCCTGTCAGCCATATTACATACTTGTCGCAAGGGAGCTCCATGAAGATGGAAACCCTCACCTTAATGTCATGGTTCAATGCACGAAGAAGATCCAAACCTCCAACCCGAGATTTTTTGATCTCACTAGAACCAATGGGAGGATCTACCATCCAAATATAGAAAAACTCCACTCGCCAACAGCAAGTCGACAGTATCCATATTACATACTTGTCGCAAGGGAGCTCCATGAAGATGGAAACCCTCACCTTCATGTCATGGTTCAATGCATGAAGAAGATCCAAACCTCCAACCTGAGATTTTTTGATCTCACTAGAACCAATGGGAGGATCTACCATCCAAATATAGAAAAATTCCACTCGCCAACAGCAAGTCGACAGTATATACAGAAATGGGGCGAGTTCGTCGAATGGGGAGAATTTTCATCCAAGGGGAAAAGTCCTTCGAAAAACAGAGACGAACTCTGGAGGGGAATACTTGGCGAAGCAGAAACGGAGGAACAATTCTTTGCTCTCTGTAAAGAAAGATGTCCTACCGATTACGTCACAAAATACCCCCAATTAAAAACATTTTCCAAGGATCGTTACAAAAGAGAGAGGCCCCCATATACTAGCCCTTTTAATTCATTTCCTTTCTTAAATGAAGAAGTAAAAAAATGGGCAGAAAATAATATTTTGTTTGTAAGTCGAAATTGCGTTCAGTACGAGTTATGTCAAAATTGCTGTCTCTCCGTTTGGAGGGAAGACGATTTCCTTAGATTAGGGATACACAAAAATAATATAAACAATTTATATACTGACGAAGAACTCTCCTCCTCCTCTGATAACAGGAACCAGAGCAGAGGCCCATCCGCCACATGATTAACAACATACACAAACAATACTATATAATAATAGGCTATATCTAATATCAATGGCAAATAAAACTTCGACTAGAAATTAATAAGACATTTGGAAATATAGATAAAATGCCGCGTGTCACCCATATAGTTGCCAAATATACTTGCCCCATTATGTTCCTGCATCAACCCCTCTTCCCTACTTTACTAAACCCACTATCTGTTCAACCATCTTCCTGGCCCAGTTCACCTTTTAATTGAACCAAACAAATCCTCCTGCAGGTATATAATAAGCACTTGTTTCTACACACATTTGTATAGGACAACATCACACTACAAAAAATTGAAGTTCAAGCACTTAATCTACAATAGAAATGCAAAAGGCACTAATATAGGGTTAAAGAAGGACCTGATCCTTGAAACCACAAGAAAGCAATTCATCTGCGTCGTCTAGTACAAACATCTTAATGTAATCAGGACGAAGTGACCGTCTCTTCAGCATATCAAACACACGCCCAACAGTGCCAACAACAACATGAACCCCACTCAACAGAATGCGCTTGTCTTCACGAACACTGGTTCCACCCACACAAGCATGTACCTTCACGCCAAGAAATTCTCCAAGTGCTTGCATAACCTTCTCAATCTGTTGAGCCAGCACACGAGTAGGTGCCAAAACCAAGGCCTGGCATTCAACTAAACCATAGTCAAGCTGTTGAAGGATACCGGAGCAAAAAGTTGCTGCCCTTCATTTTACAATACGTAACCCCCCTTTTAATATTGGAATTTTCAAGTCGATAGTTCACCATCCATGGCACCTGTTTGTCGTTAATTGAACAATAACCATTCCCATAATAGACTAACTCGCATTGACAATCTACTGGGAAAATAAACCATGCCTGCAAACTGTCATTACCGTCTAACCTCCGATCATAAACATTTACTCTGACCAACCCACTAGCATTGGGTGCGCAAAGGGGGGAATATTTTATCAATATTTTATCAACCTTAATACTTTTTTGTTTGTATCTTAACCCCAATTGAGAAAATAAATTTGGCAACGTAAGTTCAATACAACTGAAATCACTTGCCGAAACACCTTCAACAACCCCAGTTTTTATATCGTCCACCTCCATTAACTGGAACATTAAAAATAAAAATACATCAAATTACAATTCTAAACAGTTTTAAAGTACATTTGACTCCTTAAAGTAATTTTGCATTCCTTTCCACTAACAGTAGCAGCCACTAAATATATGGCACCCTTTTGAATGCTTCCAACATTTCCCAACAGCCTATCTTTGTAGTCTGTCCAAACATCAACTGTGAAGAACCGGTCTACAACTTCTATCCCGTGACGAACGTACTCTTTGTCCTTGCCACCAACGAGCTTGAATCTTATTTTCTTTAGCATCCAAAAACGGTCGAATTGGTCAGGATCAACAATCCAGGTCTCAGGATTACTAGCGCCCCCTATTGAAATTGTACCCGTTAGGCAATTTCATCCGTTGATGGACGTACGGATGGTGACGTGTAAGGCGGAGATTAAATCCGTACTCACACCAAATAGTAATCACTATTTGGTGTGAGTAGCCGGGGCTTGGTGTGAGTCGACGTGGCCATCTCCTGTCCACCCACGTGTCACAATCGTGGCGGTTTTGCTTGGATATAAAGCAAAGGTGCACAGAATTTCGCGTGAATGAACAGTAATGGGCGAGAATTCAAATTTTAAATTCCGAATCTCCGTATTTACAGCTGTCTATATATCTGGGTGCAGCCTCAAATATTTGCCGGTGGAGAGAGATAAGAGAGATATGCTTTTGCAGTTTGAGAGTTATTACACTGAGGTGATTTTCTGGTACCTTATTTCGTCCCTCCTTTTCTTTCTGCCATTTTTGTCGATTTATTTGGTATACAATGTTGTACTCCTTAGAAGAGTATCCAGAGAATTACGGGCAGTTCACGCAAATGTGTGTAGATTGCTTTTTGACGTGGCAACTAGGACTGTGGGAAGAGAGCCGGCGGAGAGCTCCGGTGAAGTTTGTTCCGGTGTACGAAGATCAGAGTGCAAAAATATCAAAGCTAAGGTGTCTGAACAAAAGGGTTAGCAGAGGTAACAGATCCTGTAGAAGTGTTCGTATAAAAGATTTGGAGTTATTTATAAAAAATGCAAGGAATAGGAAGCAATCATTACCGGACCTCCCTCGCGTATCAGAGGTCAAGGACACCGGCGGCCAATGGATATAGGCGTAGTTACTGTAGTCGTGCACCTTTTAAGACCTAGTATGTTCGCAGATGGTACGTTCAGAATATTCCCCGATTTATTAAGAAGACTAAGAGGGGAGTAAGGAAATTACAGCTACACGATGAACAATTAAGGGACGTTAAGTTTGATAATAAAGGCGTGGCGAGATTACTTAATGGTATTGAGTTGGGTAATAACAGATCTGACTGTCAATCAGACAAGATCGTGGTTAAGGGTATCAAATTCATTGGTAATGTTCAATTGGGACAGGATGCTAAGGACGAAATTGTGGTCCACCACGTGTTGTTTTTGTCATCAGTGATAATAATCCATCAGATTCCGTCCCTACACCTGACAATATATTTATTGGAGTTGGCGAGGGTAATCCTAAGACCTGGATTGTTGATCCTGACCAGTCCAACCGTTTTCGGATGCTAAAGAAAATGAGATTCAAGCTCGTTGGTGGCAAGGACAAAGAGTACGTTCGTCACGCGATAGAAGTTGTAGACCGGTTCTTCCCAGTTGATGTTTGGACGGACTACAAAGATACGCTGTTGGGAAATGTTGGAAGCATTCAAAAGGGTGCCATATATTTAGTGGCTGCTACTGTTAGTGGAAAGGAATGCAAAATTACTTTAAGGAGTCAAATGTACTTTAAAACTGTTTAGAATTGTAATTTGATGTATTTTTATTTTTAATGTTCAGGTTAATGGAGGTGGACGATATAAAAACTGGGGTTGTTGAAGGTGTTTCGGCAAGTGATTTCAGTTGTATTGAACTTGCGTTGCCTAATTTATTTTCTCAATTGAGGTTAAGATACAAACAAAAAAGTATTAAGGTTGATAAAATATTGATAAAATATTCCCCTCTTTGCGCACCCAATGCTAGTGGGTTGGTCAGAGTAAATATTTATGATCGGAGGTTAGACGGTAATGACAGTTTGCAGGCGTGGTTTATTTTCTCAGTGGATTGTCAATGCGAGTTTGTCTATTATGGGAATAGTTATTGTTCAATTAACGACAAACAGGTGCCATGGATGGTGAAGTATCAACTTGAAAATTCGAATGTTAAAAGGGGGGTTACGTATTGTAAAATGAAGGGGTATCTGAAGTATTCTACGAATGACATGCCAGAAGATTCGCAAATGAGGGCCCCCTCTATTGTTGTGTTATCTAAAAGATATACTAATGATAATGTTGATGTCTGGCATTGTCCTCCAACGAAGGCCATTCCGATTCTGACACGGACTAAGTTTGTTGGTTTACCACGATCGTGACAGGTGGGTGGACAGGAAATGGCCACGTCTACTCACACCAAATAGTGATTACTATTTGGTGTGAGTACGAATTTAATCTCCCCTTTACACGTCACCATCCGTACGTCCATCAATGGATGAAATTTCCAAACGGGTACAATTTCAACATAGGGGCGCTAGTAATATTATATATAGCGCCCCCCCAGCTGGTGTGACCTCCCCCTATATAAAGCCTCGACAGACAACATTCACACCTGTGTAAGTTAAGTGTTAATCACTAAATAAGCTAAATAATGCCTCGCCAAGCCTCTTTCCGTTTTTATGTCAAGAATGTTTTCCTCACCTACCCACAATGCCCATGCCCAAAAGAACAACTCTTAGAACTCCTCCAATCTCTCCTCCAACTAGCCTATCAGCCATACTACATACTTGTCGCAAGGGAGCTCCATGAAGATGGAAACCCTCACCTTCATGCCATGGTTCAATGCACGAAGAAGATTCAAACCTCCAACCCGAGATTTTTTTATCTCACTAGAACCAATGGGAGGATCTACCATCCAAATATAGAAAAACTCCACTCGCCAACAGCAAATCGACAGTATGTACAGAAAGGGGGCGAGTTCGTCGAATGGGGAGAATTTTCATATAAGGGGAAAAGTCCTTCAAAAACCAGAGACGAACTTTGGAGGGAAATACTTGGCGAAGCAGAAACGGAGGAACAATTCTTTGCTCTCTGTAAAGAAAGATATCCCACCGATTACGTCACAAAATACCCCCAATTAAAAATATTTTCCAAGGATCATTACAAAAGAGAGAGGCCCCCATATATTAGCCCTTTTAATTCATTTCCTTTCTTAAATGAAGAAGTAAAAAAATGGACAGAAAATAATATTTTGTTTGTAAGTCGAAATTGCGTTCAGTACGAGTTATGTCAAAATTGCTGTCTCTCTGTTTGGAGGGAAGACGATTTCCTTAGATTAGGGATACGCAAAAATAATATAAACAATTTCTATACTGACAAAGAACTCTCATCCTCCTCTGATAACAGGAACCAGAGTAGAGGCCCATCCGCCCAATCTCCCTCTACCTCGAAGGACCCTCAAGAGCAGGCAAAACCGCCTGGGCCAGAAGCCTCGGACGACACAATTACTTCTCCGGCAGAATAAGCTTCAAGGACTACGACCAAGACGCCGTCTACAACGTCATAGACGACATCAAATACTCGACAGTACCTACCGAATTGATGAAGAATTTAGTAAGATGCCAGAGAGATTTCCATGTGTTCGTTAAGTTCTAACCAGATCTCACTATTAGAGGAGGAATTCCTTGTATTTTATTAACCAATGGGGCCAGTAGTTGGTTAGATTCAATGTCCCCAAAAATGAGAGAATGGTTTGATGTTAATGTAACCACTGTCATGATTAATGAAAAATTTTGTTAAATTTATTTATAAAATCAGTCAAAGTTTTATTTACTTACTTCATTTTTCTTATCATCAACTGTTACATCTTGAGTCACATCACTATTTTTTACACTGATGATTACATTTCGTAAAACATTAGAAAATTTTGCTGGATCCATAACTGATGATTACATTTCGTAAAACATTAGAAAATTTTGCTGGATTCATAACAACTGATCTTCTACGATCAACTTCTTCTTTGCTAACACCAACCTTTGAAATCGACGGACCAAGATCAATATCACTAGTTCCATCACCACTTCTGCGTACATTAATCTCAGACAAACTCAGATGACCTTTGTGTTCATGAATAACTGAATCACTTTCCCCAAAACCTCCTAACAACAAATCTCTTCGCCTCTCCGGTAAACCAACAGACTTGGTCCGTGTCAGAATCGGAATGGCCTTCGTTGGAGGACAATGCCAGACATCAACATTATCATTAGTGTATTTTTTAGATAACACAACAATAGAGGGGGCCCTCATTTGCGAATCTTCTGGCATGTCACTTGTAGAATACTTCAGATACCCCTTCATTTTACAATACGTAACCCCCCTTTTAATATTGGAATTTTCAAGTCGATACTTCACCATCCATGGCACCTGTTTGTCGTTAATTGAACAATAACCATTCCCATAATAGACTAACTCGCATTGACAATCTACTGGGAAAATAAACCATGCCTGCAAACTGTCATTATCGTCTAACCTCCGATCATAAACATTTACTCTGACCAACCCACTAACATTGGGTGCGCAAATGGGGAACTAATTTA